CCACAGAATTATAGATGAAATAGATTTTTATATCCTGTGGTTTTTCTTTGTAGCCACTGATATCATACAATGAACGTGGTGATAACGGTTTACCTATTTTAATTATATTGGGTGCTCCGCACCCAATGAATATTTTCAATGGGTGCTCGAGCACCCGAGCACCCATGTACTTGGCGCCTATGGATAGTTTGGAGGAAAAAAAATACTTTTTATTCCATCTAAGTCACTCATCCTAGACAGAAATAGAAAAAATTTCGAGTTTTTGCTTTATAATCGTGGTAACACGATATTAAAAAAGCAACTTAATGGTATTGTGCGAAATAAACAATATATCATCACGCGCAATATATTATTATTACTATGACCATTAATACAACTTGAAATCGAACGAATGAAAAATAAAAATACAAAAATGGGCGTATCATTAATATCACAATATTGCACGTTGTATTTATAAATGAAACAAAAATAGACAACGATTTTTACCGGTCATAAACGCTGTCTCTTACCGAGTTTATACGAGTACGCACTGTCATGCACGCACGAGTGCACGACGCACCGAAAAAATAATTAACTAAGTATTACGTTTTCCCTCGATAATGTCCGTGACGACAAAGCACAAAATATATAATTCACATTCGCTAATAATATTACTTCTATGCCAAACCAATTGTATACCTATTCAATAACTTTAGAACACAATCACTCATTTTATTCGACGTCCGTTCGGCATTAATTAATTTGTAACGTTACGGTGTCAAATAGTTATATTATACACAGACACATAGTAATTGATATAATGTGGACAATGTRRTTCAAATGGTTGTCATCATTTCGGTAAGTATCAACAAGTCGAAACAAACACGATTGCTTCACATCAAAGTCAAATCTAGGTACAGCGTCACGGTAAACACTAAACGGTGAATCCTGCATTTCCGACCACCTGGGTTCTGGGACTTTTAATAAAATGTCTGACAGCTGGAAAATTAAATTAATGTTTACAAATGAAAAAAATCAGTAACGCTTTTATATAATACTAGCTGACCTGGCAAATGTTATATTGCCATTTAATAATTTCTAATGAATGTTTTGGTGAAAATGTGATATATGGCTGAAAGAGGAATGGAGCGCAGAGAACAATAATGGCCTAAAAAATAACAAAACACCAAACATTTATTTTTTGAATTAATTGTTTTTTATTATCTTCACTAATAAATTTAAAATTACATCTCTATCACAAATCATGACAATTAAATAAAAAGTATTATCAGTCTCTTAGTGCAATATGAAGTGTACGATATTTTTAGTGAGCCATTTTTTAGCAAACACAAACAAACTTACACTTACAAAATTTCATAAGAATCGGTCAAGCCGTTTCAGAAAAGTTTTGTTACAAACAATGTGACACGAGAATTATATGTGTATAGATTTTTGAAAGATTTGACCAAATAATTCAAATTTAAAGAGCAGCAATTTGTATATAATTAGATGCAAAAGTGGAAATTAATTATGAATAATTTCGCAGTTTCAGTGTACATRCACATTGTTGTAAGGTGAAAATAATGTGAATATMAAAAAYGTATAAAATATAACKAGTACACGACTAGTGTAATTATTGCAAAAAACCTGTTTTGATTT